GTAAGACCCAGGTATTTCAAATGGCTGCTCACTGAATTATGAGTTGCTCATTGTGACAGTAGGTGATGATTTTGTATGGTTTATTGTAACTCTCCAACTATCCAACAAAACTTGCAATTGGTTGAGATGTTTGCAATTTATCAGATTCTATTTGATGGTTTGCATTTATGAATATTATTGCAGTATCATCGGCGAATATGGCAACTGTGGTGAAATTTGTAGTTAGAATATCAGCAGTAAATATTAAATAGAGAAGGGAACCTAGGAGGAGTGGGGAAGAATATTTTAGTTTATATAGGAAACTTTTTTGCTATACTTGTTGAATGTCCAAAAAGGCAACTGTACATATATTTTTTCTTTTCAAAACTTCTCAATTTGTTTTTAACGATTAAAGCCAAACTAGTGATTTGGTATTGGTGTGTTTCAGTCGTTGTCTTCAGAGATTCTTTTGACTAAAAGTCTTCCTAAGGTTTTAGACATGATCAGTAGCAAGCTTATTAGTAATGTTACTAAAGGTGTTTGTAAAGATTTACTTAAAAATAAAATTATAGTCAAAATTAATGTTTGGACAGTATCGTAACATTTAGAAGGGTTAAAGGTATTACTCACCAAGTTTAATTCGCTGATTTTTTGCCGTTATGTGTATCTTATGACATATCATTTTGAATAAGATATTCTACAGTTATTCTATATTCAATTATTAATATATATTATTTTGTGATTTAATTAGTATGCTTGTAATATTAATTTCTCTGACTTAAGGAGGTCCTTTCGCCACCAATGTTAAATAAAAAATATTAGATTATGACTAAAATTAATTTTTTTCTAATAGTAGATGTCCTTATTTATCTAATAGTGAAAACTTTTAACTATACCTTACCGTGCAAATTTTTGAGAATTTTTTTTTTAAAAATGTGTGTGTTTGTACAGTGTCTTATGAGAAAGTAAGACTTCAACAACAATTTTCGAATTATAATTAATTTTACTATTATTTATTGATTAGATGGAGTAGAAAAAAACTAAAAATAAGGTTTTTGAAATATTTAGGTTTTGTTTTTTACAATAAAATATATAGGTTACCGTGGAATTTATTGAGAAATTATTATTAAAAAATCACAAAAAAATTTCAACTAGGTTACTTGAAAATTTTTTGTGATTTTTTAATATTAATTTCTCAATAAGTTCCACGGTTTACTATATATATTTTATTGTATAAAACAAAATCTAAATATTTCAAAAACCTTATTTTTAGTTTTTTTCTACTCCATAAATAATAGTATAATTCGAGAATTGTTGTTGAGAACTTACTTTCTCGTGAGGCACTGTACAAATACTCACATTTAAAAAAAAAATCTCAAAAATTTGCAAAGTAAGGTATAGTTAAAAGTTCAGTATTAGATAAATAAGGACTTCAACTATTAGAAAAAAATTAATTTTAGTCATAATCTAATAACTTTTTTTTTAACATTTGAGGCGAGAGGTGTGGCGAAAGGAACTCCTTAAGATTTTTTTACTTGTACACATTTACCGTGAACTTTGTCCACATTTATATCAAGTTTTTATGTTATTTAATATTAGTTTCCAATGTAGTGTAAAATTTCCCATTCCGTTACAGACTTGATCGAAAAAAAAAAATTATAAAAAAAAAGTTTACCTTATCTTCGAAAATTGAAAATCAAAAATTTTCTAACTTCCGACTTTCCAACTGAAATGGATAGTAGACGATCTTACCTGAAAAAAAGAAATAAATCAATGTAATTTTTCTATGCTCTAATAAGTTTATTATGTATGATGTTTCAACAAAATATAATTTAATTTGCATAATAGGTATCTATAGTTATCTATATTTTTTTGGGAGAGGGGGCGAGAAATACAATGTACACACCTCTGCATGGGTATATTCATAGGCGCCGGAACTCAAAAATTGTTTTGGGTGCCCGGTCTCTATAAGGAAAACGGGTGCAATCCCCCCTCCACCTTCCACACCTCACTTAAAGGCACCACCGGTTTTTTAAAAGCACTTTAAAAGCTATTTTAAAGTGTTAATTTTATGAAAATATTCTTTAAAAAAAAAGGTATTGTCACATGTTCAATTGCTGGAGTTTTGAGGATTGAAGAGGCAGACGAAGTATCAACAATCGGTAGGCTGGAGGCTTGAAGGCTACCACCTAAATCGGGATATCTGGCATCTATATGCTCGGTGCTGCCACCACTGGTATTCAGTGGTGCTGCAATGCTAAACTACCAATGAAATAAGTAGAAACAATATAAAACATTTATTAACTAATTTGGGAAATTTTTGATTATTTATTTATACACATATAATGGAGTATTGTATATATACATGGTGGCCATTTTAAAACAAAACATAGCCAATTTTGTCGCACCCCAGTTCCTTTACGAAAAAACGCTCAATTTTGGATTTAGGGGGAAACATTTTTTTTGCTAGTTTCATCCCATGAACGGAAATTCTCTAGCGTGGGTGAAACTTGCCCCTAAAATCTTAAATGGAAAGAGGGGTCAAATGATAGCTTATTTTGAAGATATTTTTACATAGATTTTAACCCCTGAGTTGATGATAATCTTACGAAATCTCACTAGGGGGGAGGGGGTCAAAAAAAATCCTCAAAATTACCTTACGTAATTAATGAATGCCCCCTTTGTCACAGATTTTCCAGTGATGTTGGCTGGATGGCATAAATTTTAGTTTTTAAGTGGCCTCATTAAAAATCGAACAAGGTTAGATCCGAGGACTGTGGGGGCCACTCACTCAATACTTTCTCTTCTTCCGATCCATTGACCTGAAAACGTTTGATCCAAATACTGAAGAATAGTCAGTGCAAAATGGGGTGGCACTCTAGAAATGCTGGATAAATGGCGTTTTCTAATAATTCCAGATACATGTCTGCGGTTAAAGTTCCAGGCAAAAAAAGGGGCCAGTTATACGGTTACCAAAAATGCCAACCAAAACATTGAGTTTTTCCGGATGTTGCGTATGTATCTCATTAAATATTCTGGGATTTGAATGGGACCAATAACGACAGTTGTGACGATTTTCCGTACCATTTAGGAAAGAAGTGCATTCGTCTGAAAAACACACATTGAAAAGAAATTGCTGATCATGTATTACCTGTTTAGTCATAATTTCACAAAATTGTAATCACCTATCAAAATCGTCTTCGTTAAGTTCTTATACCAGATGAATTTTGTAGGGATGTTTTTTCAGTATCTTCTGAGTGCTACTTTTCTTAATACCATCGCAAACTGCCTTGTACTCAATGTGGGTTCTTGAACAACATGCCCTAAAATCGGCACCTCTGTACTTCCATTTACTATACCATTTTCCATTTTACGTCATTTGATAGCTACTGACCTCGTTTCCCAAAATTTTTGGACTAACTCCAAAATATACTTTCGATGGACTTGTCGATTTTAATGTTGACTGTTAAATAGTTGGGCAGTTCTATTACTACATTCATTGTTCTCAAAAAAAGTGAAATTATTTGCACCCTCTCAGCTGACTCTATAACGAAATAAACTAAATCTTACTACTTTACATCGACAAAAGAATGTCATCTGATAACAATAATTAAAAGCCACAGGAATAAAACTAGAATTGTTACAAAGAATTCCTTTTTTTTTTAATAACAATGTAAAAATGATGTTAAACCGGTTTTGTACTTTTGGTGAGCCACTGTATGGGCTACATAGATAGTAGCGATGTAAAACTCGGGGGTTATAATATATGTAAAAATACCTTTAAAATAAGTTATCATTCGACTTTTCTTTCCAGTTAAAATTTTAGGGGTGAGTCCCCGATTAAGGATTTTCGATCAGTGGGCGAAACTGGCAAAAAAATGTTTCCCCCTAAAATCAATAACTAACAGGTCAGCGCGTTTTTAGTAAATGACATGATTTCTTGCCAGTACTACTAGAAAACTGTTTCTGGCTCTAAATTAACGTTCTTTTCTAACAGTGCTTGATCGGAAGAAACTTCCAAATGTTCTCCCTTCTCCCCTCAACTCTTGTCTTGTCTTGATATTTGTAGAAAGTTATTAGTCGTTTTTTTATGTCATAGGGTTTTATACACCAAGAATAATAAACTCTTAAGTACAGGTTCAATGCGTTATCTATGACAAGTGACGGCGACTTTTTTATCACAAAAATTACAGCTCAGAACGATATTTTATCGAGGCATCCTGTCGCTATACCAACTTGGGTCACAACAGCTTCTTCATTTCACTTATTGGCATTTTTTGTCCACGCTGTGCTATGGGTGCTCCGCACCCAGTTTCAAACTGCTCTGGGTGCTTGCGCACCCAGAGCCCCGAGGATTCGGCGCCTATGGGTATATTAAACTAACTCATTTTAAATAAATTAATTAATCAATCATTTCATATTATTTTTGGTCTAGATAAGTAACAATATCTTTACATAACATATAATCTGTGAATCATTAAGAAAATATTCAAACTATTAGAAGGGGGTTTCCGATCTAATGGTTTTAAATTACTGAGGCCTTTTTTATGGAGCTTCAGTATTGCATTCTTTCCCTCATTTTTTTATACTTTTATAATTTTAAAATGCAATTTTGTTTATTGAATAGGGACGATTTAATATGAGCAATGACAAGTAAGGTATCGATACTGTTCCAGAGTACTTTCAAATATAATTTATTTATTTCATTTATCTATTTTATTATGGAGCTGTGGATAAAATGTACAATTGTTTAAAGCAACGAATCGTTGTAGCCAACCCAACAATTGTAGTAAGCGTGAGAGTAAGAGAAAGATAGAAAATAAGTCGCTTGAAAAATGACTAAAATGGTCGAATATCGAAAATGGTGTATTATAATAAAATTATTACATAAATCTAATGCATGTTTTTTGTTTGTTTCAGGTTGAAAAAAGATGTTACCATCAACCCAATCGTCATAGTCATGTTCCTTTTATATCTTGAAAGCAAGATAAGGAAGGGGCAGATTTTTCGTAGGATAAAAATGAAAATTCGTCCTCCGGACTAGCTGTACATAAAACAATAAACAAATTTTTAGATTTATAGTATTTCTAGTCATAAACGTAAGTATATACAAATAATATTTAAAATTTTTTGTCTTATTATGCTTGAATTTTTTAAATTGAATTCATCCAAAGTACCTTTAAAACTAGCTGTGGTTAGATATGTTCGAAAGGGTAAAAATAAGTAAGCAGTATATGTGATTTTGCCCATTTCCAAATAGTGAAAATATGTCATATCTGGTTTTGAATTTACTACGCATGCAGTATAATCATACAGGAAAAATATTGGGATCTGTCCAATGGGAGGAGCCAAAAAAATATGGCGGATATAAAGTGGTAATTTTTCCAAATAGATAGAATTAGATATAAAGGAAAATTTAAATTAAAATAATAAGTATCCGTGAAATTTGTTTGTAGGCTGAAACAAAGCCAGATAATAGGAACTTTATTGAAGGGGAAAGAGTTTTAAGGACTGGGCATATTTTAAAATGTAGTAAAAATCTAGTTAAAAGTGACCGAGGAACCGTCAACATCATGGCGTACTGCTTTCAGACGTCCCACATTAAAGAGAAGCCCCATTAAAAAAAATTAAGCAGAAATAAATAATGATATTATATAAAATTATTTTTAATTAAAGTTATATAGTAGAGAACACGTGCTTTTTAGGTTATGTCTGCAACACTTATACTTATGTGGTAATATATAGTCATCTACTTTGAAATGGAGTGAACAGACTTTCATATTCTGTGCAATATTTTTTTATTTTTAATGCCTTCATCCAAGCCACTAACAAATCAATTTTTTCCAATTTTCCAAAGTGATTTGCAACACTAACAAAAGCGTTTCCTACTAAAGGGTGTCTCATCAAGAAATTGTATTTTCAATGACAAAGAAAACACAGTAATTAAAAAACAAATAGGCAAATATTTTATTGGACATTCAAGAGAAAATGTTTACATTAAACTTGAAACAAAATATCTGTCAAATGGCCACCACGGTTCGGTTGACGGGTGTATATTCGTTTGACCAAATTTTGGAAGACGTTTTCGAGCAAAATCGGCTTTATTTCATAAATATTGCGTTGGATTCAGATGGATGTATTTCCCATATTGCTTGCTGATGAGTTCTAATAAACGCAAAACCGTACCAAGAATGACGTTTTCTTAGTAAAGAGAAAATGATGCTTGTTGTAGTGGTTTTCCGGAGAAAAACAGTGGCCCAACGTTTCTCTGACACAAATTTATTTACTTATATAAATTATTTATTTTATGTTACTTTTTTATTTATTTTAGCTAACTGTGATATAGTCAGCAATCCAACAATGGTATTGGAAACACTTCTAGTTCAAACTGCCTTAAAGACGATCGGTATCGTAGGCTCGACCTTATGGTTGATCCCTTTGGTCCTGGCAGGTCTCTCCTTTATAAACTACAACAAATACGATCCCGAATCGCAGGTGATGAACGCGCAGAATTTGTACAGGGAGTACGATTTTATTATAGTCGGTGGAGGGTCAGCAGGTGCTGTAGTTGCTGCGAGGTTATCGGAAATATCCAAATGGAAGGTAAGTTAATTATTGATTAAAAATATAATAAGTAGAATAGATAGCTTCGAGTCTAATAACAACAACTTTCAAAATAATGTTTTTTCTACTACCTTTCTTAAAGTACTATCATTTTGCACGCTACAGAGTTCGTAACACTTTAATTCACGCACTAGTGCGTAAAGAGTTTTAAAGTGTCAAATTTGAGTGTATTGACCACAGAGCAACAATTTTTTAGTATTGACAATTCTTATAAAAATAACAATGAGTATATTAAATATTTAATTTAATTAATTTTTTTAATTTAATCATATATTTTTATAGTTATTTCAATCCAGTTTAAATATTATATTAATAAAAATTATTGTGAAATCTTATTACCTGTTGACGAAAATTATTTAAGTTCCTAACGATCCAGCTAATTTGGCTATGGATGACTGAAACTTCTTTATTTAATTTGACATTTTAACTTTAAAAATCAAAAACAATATCAAAATTCAAAAATATTTTAAATTGTCGCTTTATTTTTTTGGTTTAATCATAAATCAAAACTTATTTGAATTCAATGAATATAATATTAAATTAAATAATAATAATAAAAGTTACAAAAATTGTAATTAAAGATTTCTAACAATCTTGCTAAGTTGGCTGTTGTTGACTGACATTTAGTACGTGTTGTGAGATATTTCTTAAATTTCTTTATACTATTCAACATTTAAACTGAAGTTAAAAATATATCTATTTAATAGGTAATTATTATAACATTATTGTAGATATTTTCTTCCGAAAACAAAACAGACATCTATACAAACTTAATTTTAACAATAAATTCATCTAATTCTGATGATTATTTCGAAAATACTCCACCGAATATATTGGATGCAGCACAGAATGCTTCGAAAGATGTATTGCCCCCAAAATCAGTCAACATTTATGAGTCGAAATATAATTTCTTTACGGAATGGTGTAAAAGAAATAAAATTACCAAATATTCTGAGAATGTCCTGGTGGCATTTTTTCAAGTGAATTAAAACACTGTAAAAAAATTCCTAATAAATGTTTCAGTTAAATAGTCAAAATAAAAATATATTATACAGGGAAGAAATTCAAAATCTAAAGAAAATGTAGAATTTAAATTACTTAATTTAATAAAAAGTAGGTAGAGACTTTGAATAAATCACTGCACTAAGATTCAATAGCAAGAAAAAATTATAAATAGATACAGTGTTAAGCAAGCAAATGAAAAGAAAATAGAAAAAACAAATTTATAATTATAATTCGGACACCCTCCTAAATCGCTAATTGCAAACTAGATAGTTTTAAATACTTATCCAAAATTATATATTCAAATAAAGGGAAAATTATGTTAACTAGGAAATTGGATAGAAATTAAAAAAAAAGATTACTATTAGTAACTGAATACATATTACCAAAAATTAAGGTAGCTATTACAGACAATATTGCTTTACAAAATAAGCAGTTGCAGACAGTTAAAAGTTAGAAGGTAATGTCTGGTCTGACTCATAAATATTCCAATGGTGTAAAAGGAAAAAATTGACTACAGGCGGTATTTCTTGGTCGTGTAGGTAGTAGCAGAATAATAAAAAGCTAGATACAATATTGTGGCCTAACGGTATCTTTTATTATTCTGGCCTGATAGTATACTTGAAAATTAATAATATTTTAACTTATTAAAAGGAACTGTATGGAAATCAAGAAAGGAGATATAATCATCCTCAGATAAATCGTTATCAACACCCGAAACTTTTTTTTTAAATCAGAGACATGGTAAAAAATTTTATTCGTTAGGCACAAACATTAACTTTAGGTAAAAATCCATATACTATAACACTTCAGTGTAGAATAAATATTTTGATATATCACTATCAAAATATTTATAAATAAACACTGGATCTAGTACAATATGCAGATGTATAGAAAAGGTTAAAATAAGATGTAAAAAAGTATTAGTAAAAATACAAGACATGCAGTTAGTTTAGTTAACCTCTATGAAATGTCTATGGGAGTTAGAACGAAAAGTTATAAGTTACAAAGAAACTATTTCAAAGTTAAGAGCTATTTGACCCAGCTGAGGCGGCATTTTTGTAACATGAATACCTGGTTATTTTATCTACTTTGAGCTCAATTTATAGGGCGTGGGTTAGGTTTATAAATAACTCAAAAAACTGAAAAAGGAGTTGGACACCACTATATTTAAAGCTTATACACTTAACTCTAGATTAGTGATAAAAATAGAAAATCACTAACAACTAATAAATTATACTTAAAACATGTTTTAAATAAGGTAGGTATCAAATTCTAATTCTCATAAGTCTGCACAAAATTCAAATTTAAAACAATGTACTGATTAAATGAATTGCATTTATCTGTAGGTACATAAGTTAAAGGTAAAATCAGATATTTTATTTCTTCACTCCAAACTGTAGAGGTACACAACATTACACCCCGGTCAGGTAACTTTCACCAAGTGATTCGGGACACCTATTCACAATTCTCATTTGTGACTGCATAAACGGCATTCGAACTCAAAACGTCTAGTGTTGAAACGTGAATGATCTTCGATCTTCAAGATAAATGGTTCTTATTGTATTTAAACCCAAAACTGTCTAGAGATGAAATTGTAAATGAAATTCAGTATTCGAACTTGAACTCGAAACTGTCTAGAGATGAAAACAAAACCGTCTAGAGATGAAACCGTCTATAGATAGCCATCAGCTTATAAAATCAGACAGAAACAAATAAACTTATCAACAACATACAAAAAGCTAGAAACGAGACAACCACAATAAAAACACAAAAACAACACAATGACATATTGCCTGTAGAGATCACTGACCTTATAAATAACAAAAATCACATTAGAAGGAGATGGCAACAAGAACGACAAAGTGACGATAGGGTTGATAGGGTTAGGCTGTACGATATAGCAAAAACTATCAACAAAATGATCCGAGAATTTCGCAACAACAAATGGAAATCTACCTTATCGAAGCTAAAAACCGAATGACAATACATTGTGGAAAGTGGTGAAGAGGTATAAAAAAACGAACTTAATGCTTCCCACAATGAAACAAGGACCTGACTTACTTAGTACAGATGAAGACAAAGGTCAAGCCTTCGGTGAATACTTTTAGTCAAAATTTATATATAACCAAGAGAATAACCTAGAACAAACAAGAATCGAACTTATCGCTAACACATTTGAGCAGTCAGAGCCACGAATAGTGCCACATTCCTTTTATACCTCCCCTAAAGAGGTGTGTGAAGTAATTAAGGTACTCAAAAACAGAAAAGCTCCGGGACCGGATGGCATCAGTAATATATTACTAAAAAACCTTAGTAGAAAGGCTGTCGCACAGCTCTACCACCTAGTAAATGCCATTTTCAGGCTACAACACTATCCCAGTGGCCTGAAAATGGCAAACATCATCCCAATACTTAAGGCAGGTAACCAGCCAATAAAATCGATAGTGACCGCCCCATTTCCCTACTTAACACAATATCAAAAATCATAGACACAATTTTACTAATTAGACTAAAGCAAACGGAACAACGTATACAAATTATCCCACGGGAACAATACGGTTTCAGAGAAGGTCATAGCACAGTTGCTCAGGTATTGCGCATTGCTCATCACGCGAAACAGTAGTTCAGTAACGACCTACAAACAGTAATAGTAACGTTAGACAGCGAAAAGGCCTTTGACACCGTATGGACCTGTGGGTTTTTTTTTTTTTTTTTTTTTTTCGATTTATGGCCTAGGTGTATATACCTAATATGCCAGTCTCAAATTTGTGTTTAAATTCTCAATCATGTGTGTTCTGTGTAGGCGACCTGTGGGTTAATACACAAAATGCTTGTGAATAACTTTCCCGGGCATATTGTTAAAAATAATTCAGTCATACCTAATTAATAGACAATTTTGTTTAAAAATTAACTCGACAATTACAGGATCATTCCTAGCGATGGCGGGAGTCCTGCAGGGCTCAGTACTCTCGCCGCATCTGTAGACGATTATGACCTCCGATTTACTCATGGGCGATAATGGTGTACAGACGGCGTTGATGACATCTGTTTATTTAACAGCAATAGATCCCCGGAAACTGCCACAAGGGAGCTGGACAACCATATAAATGGACCGTTAGTGACCTATCTAGTTGACAACAAAATAAAAATAAATTCGAGCAAAACCGAAACTATGGTACTTACTAAGAGGTGGACCCAAGGTATAGCCACCCCACTCACTATACAAAACCAACCAATAGTGGCTAAATCTACAGTTAAATACTTAGGTTTTCAACTAGATAGGGGATTAACGTTCCATCAACATATAAAGACAGCGTTAACAAAAACTACAGAATTTTGCGAACCCTATACCCTATTATGAACAGACGTAGCCGCGTAACCCTGGAAAACAAAATCCTTCTTTACAAATCAATTTTCAGACCGATTTTAACATATGGTTGTCCGGTTATCTCCTCAATGGCACAAACCCACTTCAACAAACTTCAAAGGGCACAAAACAGGTGTCCAAGGCTAGCTCTAGGGTAACGCTAGAATACAAGTTATGCACGGAACAACAAACATACCATACATTAAAAACTTCGTTACAAAGACAGCTGGAAACTTCTATGCGCGATGCCTCCCTGATGAACTCAGGGATAGCATCATGAACGATCATCAGGGGGACAACGTGCATAGAAAGCACGGAAGCGCACACCAAAATCTTAACATATACAGAAGACAGTAACAGAGAGAAGCTTTGACTCTTAAGGAGTCGACCCTCATACCGTGAGGCATCGGGTTTTTGTTACCCGCTATCTAGCAAAACCGCGGCCAATGGAACCCATCCCAACTTCCACACTCCTAAAAATTAGCGGGGGCCGAATCCTGGTGTTCTTTATTTTTTTTTTTTTACATTTTACATTTTACATTTTACATTTTTTTCCTTACATTTGTTTTTCCTTAGGTGGTAGAAATATAAATAAAATAAAATTTTT